CAGCATTTAAATGCATAATGAAATAAAATACATTCTATTTTCAGTTTTCTTCCTCCGTTATATTACAAAACATTAAAAACAGACACTTTTATTTTTACATCAAAATAATAATATTTCAGATGATCAATAGAGTCTTTACATCCATATTTGATAAATATTAAACAATCTGAATTTATGTTAAAAAATATTTACGAAGTTCATACTTAAATATACCGAAAATATAAAACATATTCATGAAAATAAAATACAGTTCAATGAGGCATGCCCTATGTATACTTTTTGTAATACATTCTGTAATATACTGCACAAAAATACTACCAATATCAGTATTTGATATGCTGTTTTAGATTACAGAACAGGAAGATGTAATTAAAAATGTTCTAGAATATATATGCTTTTAAGGTTATGATGTTTTGTAATACTGAATGTATACTTCTTTTAAATTGTATTGAGTAACAGACCAGACTCTAAAGAGTAATGTTGCATTATATTGTCACTGCAAAAATAACACTTTATGCCAAATTTATATTTCATTTATATAAACTATTACTTTAGCATATGAATGTTAAACTTTTCATACAGAAATGAATTTACACTTTATTTAGTATATGTGCATTCTTTCACAAGCAAATATTAAAAGTAATGATATAAGAATTTATATTTCAGTAGTGTATTTAAGTTTTTTCATTAGCAGCCTTACTTAAAAATATGCCATATTTAATATTCAAATAAATATAATAAACATATTTCCTAATAATGCATACATTTTTTTTTTACTTTATACAAGCCCTTGGAATATTGTTTATTTGCAACATATAGAATCAAAAATGTTATTATTCTCATATTTTGCATTGAAAGCTGTATTTCAATACTGTACCCTACCACGTTTTGTTTTCTTCATAAAAAAATTTGTTTCAAAAAATAAAAGTTATAAAATAAATTATGCTATGTATTTGTTTACATAGTAAGAGTCTACTAAGCTTTGAGGCATATTTCATGCAATAATAACATTTAAAGAATGCAAGCAACAAACCAATTAAAACTATGCTAGATGACAGCTTTGCATACATGATATGATATTAAAGTATAAAATTAAATTGATATATTACACAAAAACCAAAATTTTGCTCAAAAATCACTTTTCATTTCTGTTAAAAAGTTTCTTGGAATTAACTCTCAGTATTGGAACTGATATTGCTGACACAAAATGAGAGGTATTTTCAAGATTTTTATCAGTTATTGTATATGTTTATAACTCATGCTTCATTCTTGAAAGCAATACTTCATGCATATATATGTTGTCAAAAATAATTTTTCTTGCAAAAGTACTTAAATTTAGTTCCCCCCTTGCAAACCAAATACAGCTTATAAAACTAGCAATTCAGATTATGAGATTAAGCAATAAACTGCAATTAAGACTTTGTGGGTCTTACTAAACTTGCAAACTGGAGTATTCTTGGTCAGATTTGACAAAAAACAATAGCAGATAAGCAGATCAAGCAGATAAGACCATTTTATATTGGTATTTTACCTGAGTTATACCTGACAAACATTTGGTTTTTACCATGTTATGCGAGAAGTACATAAGGAACATAAAATGATTCTTCAATACAAAATGTTGAGTTAAAAAAATGCTTTTGTTTTTAAAATATTAAAAAAAACCTTTTGATGGCCTTTTCAAAATTAAGTATTATGATTTCAATTAAAAAATCAGTTTTCAATTTCAGTTAATTAGCATTTTAAATTAAATAATAAAATAAATAATTCAATAATTTTGGGAGAATTTAAAATTGAATACATATAAGCGAATTGGTAACTTCATAGTGAAATTTTGTTCATTGAAATTTTTACTTTTCTAAAATTAAGGTTGTTTATAATTTTATCCATAGAATAAAAAACATGAATGAATACTTTTGCCATAAAAATATTGCAAATTTCTTTAAAACTTAACAGTATTTTTTTAAAATTCATATCTTGTAGACACATTAGGTATTTTTTGGAAGGCATCATGAAAATGACCATCATGCAATGCCTTTGCTAGGAATTGAACCATGGACCTCTTAAATACGTACCCAGCATGCAGACCACTACATCACGAAGACATGCTAAGAAGGTGGAAGAAATAATACTCCCCCTTTTAAAGGGCGACTGGGATTTTTTTAGGGAACCCAATGTCAAATCACGGGTGGGGAGAATCATCATACACCACGCTTTTAGTTCTCGCACCACTATAGATATATTAGGAAGTTTTGGAAGCAGGAAAGATCAAAAATAAGCAACGCCTTCGCAAATTGGGAATTGAACCGGGGGACCTCTGAAATATGCACCCAGCATGCAGACCAATACACCATGAAGGCACGCTAAAAAGGCGGGAGAAATACCTTATATACTCCCCCTTTTAGAGGGCAACTGAGGTTTTAGGGGACCCAATCGTTAAATCCTGGCTGTGGAGAATCGTTATCCACCACCCTTTTTTAGTTTGGGCGCCACTTGTAGAGCTATTAGGTTATTTGGAAGCAAGGGACTTAAAAAAGACGGGAATCGAACTACAGATTTCTAAAATACGTGCCCAGCACACCACAAAGGTGGGAGAAATACCTTATGATCTTCCTTTCTCAATAAAATATGCATGTTGTTAAGTATGCTCTTGATAACTTAACTTGCTGAGAATAGAAGTCCATGGTAATTAAAACAGCAATTTAAATAAATTCTTTAAAATCCAGCCTTTATTTAGAATTTATTTTAATTGTACATTGCGCAAAAAAAGGCGGCACAGTTCTATATCTCCCATATTGGGCCGATTGACGAAATTCAAATTGCGTTTTTCATATCTCAAAAGTGCGACTTAAAATATGTATTAGATTTATATATAGCATTGTTCTAATACAGGTACACAAAATTGGACCTTTTTCTGAAATAATATACCAATTTTTTTCCATATTTCAATTCTATGACTAATTATAAAGTTCTGCAAAAATCACATTGGTAGTTCTTAAAAAATTAGCTCTCAAAACTTCAGCTCCTCAATGTTAGTTCAAATTCTTACGTATTTTTCTATTACACTTACTTGATTCCTTCTTTCACAGTTCAAAATTTAGGTTCATTCCAAATAAAATTCACCCATTTCTTATCATTTAATTTAAAAAATTGTATTTTAAAATAATTTTTATAAATTAAAAAAGAAATTTGAATTGGAATCTATAAAATTTTTACCATCATCTTAAACTTTTAATACAGCCTCTGCTCCTGAAAACATCATTCTCTTCTACACAGGAACAATGACCCTCAGTGTTCAACAGACACTCCCTGCCCTCCATCAACCCAGGGAAAAGCAAACCCCTCTAAAGAAGCTTTGGGTGACAGTGTACCGCAAGAAGTACATAATCTTGCAGCCACTTCCAGGGTGGGAAACTCTTACTGTGAGCACTGTGGTTATTTATGTGATGAACGTGTTTGGACAGCACTGCAGAATAAGAGCCCTACTGGACTCTGGTTGCAATTGAATCTTATCACCAAAGAATGCTCAGAATTTTTTAGCTTGAAAACAAACCATCTGAGGGCACATTTTGGAAATAAGTGGATCAGCTCATTCAGTCAAGGCAAAGATTTTCGCCCATATTTCTAATGAAACAGAGGCTTTTTCTCATAATTTAGAATTACATATTATTCCAAAACTAATAGATTTAATTCTTTCAGCCAAACTGGATATTTCTAATATAGCGATAACACATGATATTAAATTAGCAGACCCTAACTTCTATACACCTGGTAAAATACACATCATACAGCCATAACCCCCTGGTGTAATGGTGTGGGGTGCTATTTCTTATGACAGCATGTAATCTTTAGTCATCCTCCGTACATCTTTAACAGTTCAACGATATGTTGATACCATCCTGTGGCTGGTTGCATTACACTTCATGCCACGTCATCCTGCGGCCATTTTCCGACAAGATAATGCCAGGCCACATACTGCTCGCATATCTATGGACTGTCTCTGTGTGGCTGTTACTCTTTCTTGGATAGCAAGGCCACCAGACCTTTCACCAATCGAGCATGTCTGGGGCATAGTAGGCCGCCTGATAAGGGCACCACAAAATATCGCAGATCTGGAGCGACAATTGATGAATGCCTGGCAGAATGTGTCGTAGGATGACATTAGGAGCCTCTACCACTCCTTGCCTCGAGGAACTCAAGCATGCATTGCACCAGGGGCAGTTTGACCAACTACTAATTTGAACACTCAATGGGTGATTGAGAACCATGAACAGGTACTATGATGATCTTGATTTTTTAATCCTTGTATTATCTGTGTATGAGGTATACACATATTTAATTTCACCAAAAACAACCACTTCCTTCATGGTGCTTCGATTTTTTTGCAAAAGAGTGTATTGTAAATAAAATATGTTTTTATAATATTCCACCACCCATTATCACTTATTACTAAATGACACAAGTTTGAATGAGCTATTGCTAAGATTTTAGTAAGTAGAATGTGATACACTTTAAAAAAAGTTGATTGTATATATACAGGAGTTTGCCACTCTTGTTCTAGACCAGAGTTTCTTAAACTGCGGGTTGCAACCCCAGTTGAGGTTGCGGCACCTGCGGTAGGGAGTCGCCAAAATGTTTAGCAATTTGATATTTCTTTAACTTATTGTAATAATTTGATAATTACCAAATATTTTTACATAATGTATCTAAATATAGATAAAGATATGAAAATACAGACAAAGAAAAAACAAAAACATTTCAACACATTTTTTTAAAAATAGAAACGTTCATTTAATTTTTAAAATGAATGACCTAAAACTGCAATAGTATATATCACAGTACAAGTGAAGAAACTGTTTCATTCACACGAGTGTCGGATTTGTGCAATGCTTATGGGGTCTCACAAAATTTTCGTAAATATTATGGGGTCCCCACACCAAAAAGTTAAGAAACCCTGTTCCAGACTAAACGATTTATTACAGGATGAAAAACTATATAATTACCACTATTACATTTCTTTACACCCTGAGGGTTAGCTGAAATAGGACGTTTAGACAATTTGGACGATTTATTGTCATAGGAAATTGAAGTTTCATCTTCTTCTTCCTTTATTTGCTGTTGTAAGACTGTAAAACACAAAACTTACTCTCACTAGATATAAAATAAAATATAATAATAATAAAATGATAATATATGTTTGATAAGGACGCATTAGCAAAGAATACAAAATTACTTAGCCATAAAATACATGATAAAAAATTAAGGACTTCAATTATTACTTCATTTCAAATAGAAAAAATTCAACAAGCAAAGAATAGTGAAAACATTTTTTTAATATTAAATGTTTATATTTAAACATTATTGTTAAATTCATGCATGCAAGAGTCACATTAATTTCAAATTCTTTACATGATCAAAAATTTTAAAGTAATACTAATATTTCATACAATTTAACAAAAACTTTTGTCATGTTTATAAAATTTGAATCAAAATGATTTTATCTGCTTTTATGCTCACTAAAACTTTCAGAAATAATTTTTGCTGAATCTATACTGCAACAGAGAAATTGTTCTCACAGCTATTCTTTAATTGAATGATTGGTTTAAGAATCATTTCATACCTCAGGTCTGGTAGCATTTGAAATTTACAAACTGAAAAAATTGTCTTGATTATAGGTAACTGTTCAGTTCACAAGTCATTTAAACATTTAGTACAACGCTTTTTAAACGTTTTCATTCATCATCTCTTTTCATTATCGAGACTTTTTGTAAACCCAAATATTCAATAAAAACACATAAAAATAAATATTTTCCCATAAATAATTTATTTCTTTGATAAACATTACACATATATGACATATTACACATATAAGTAGTTTTAAGCATACCAAAATTAATGAAAGAACATCACATTTTACTGAGATGGATGTGCTTGTTTTTTACTCCATTAAAAATCTTGGGACGTTTCAGTCATTGAACAATGTTTGGGTTTAACAAGTTGTTGTTCACATTACATGGAAGAATAGTTGCCAGAGCCTACTCCAAAGAAATGCTGGACTTTTAAGGGCTTAATAAGTGCTAAGCAGAAAAACACATTTTACAAAAGTATGGAGGGCTGATTGGCAGAACATTTAATATTATTTCATAAGATTGTAGGATATTCAGTTCTATCTCCAGACTACAATTAAGTTTTTTTAAGGATACTCAAGTTTTAATCCGAGACACTCAAGAGCTCAACAAAGTTCTCTTGAGCTTTATATGGCAAGTTATTAATCTCATTAACATCAACCAAAACTGCTTCCTGAATCCAAGATAACTTTTTGAAATCAAAATTTGATAAAATATTTGCGAAACTAAGTTTCTAGGATTTTTAAGTGATCTGTAACAACTTTAGCAATTAAAGTTTTAGTTATTTTTTCATTTAAAAAAAATTATCGATATACGAAAGAATCATTTTCCACCCTTTTCTTCCAAATGCTGAACTTTTGAATAACACTTAAGTAAATTTATGGTTATTTGTTCCTTAAACAGACAAATTGAGATTGTTTATTTTCTCAAAAATATCTCACAAACGGCAAAATTTTGATACTCATAAATTTAGACTATTCCAAATAGCCGACTCTAAAATTCCAATGACAGTCATAGCCTGAATTCATCTCTGATAGCAGTGTTACATTATTTGCAAAACACAGAAAACAGAATTTTTTTAAATCGTTCTGAAACATTTGAAAAATAAAAAAGGATAAGAAAAATGAAAGGGGCGATTGCATTTCACCATTACTTATGATTCACTTAATTATATTAATAATGACTTATGGAGTCCTTTTTCTTATGTGCCCACCAGCAATGTCACTACTAAAAACAAGATTATTTCCACGTAGATAACATTCTTTCAGTCCGCAAGATAAGATTTTTTAATCAGAAATTTTTACCAGACTCCTTTTACTTTTAGCAAGATAATGACTGGTTTCCTTTACAAATTTGCTTATCATGTTTTTATTAAGTTTTAAATAACAGGATTCTTTCTTACCACAGAACTCAGGTTTTAATTGTAATCACTCAGTAAAATTGTAAACAATGCCTCTTTATATGGCTATAATTTCATAGTACAGTTTTCCTCATAAAAACTCCATATGAGAAATTGCAGTTGAACCTGGGTAAGATGGTTTGGCCAGATATAAATTAATAATACATAGGCACTTCTGTTTAAAATTTAGCAATTACCTCACACAGAATTTGAAAATGTAATAAATATATCAACTGAAAGAAAGAGTATGAATATCTGCAAGTCATAAGAAGGAGTTAAATTAACTGAAAGCACAAGCACAGAAGAATAAAGAAAAACATTACTCCTTTACGTAAAAAAAATTAATCAAATTCACAAACACATCATATTGGCATATACAACAGAAAAGACTTTTCTTAGATATTAGTGGCCTGTAGCAAAACAGTGCAATCCCTAGATCATAAAATAGTACTTAAGTCTCAAAGCATTACAATTCCAACCCTAAGAACCTACGAGAAAGTGCCTTAAGCTCCCAATGAAAACTGCCACAACAAATTATTTGGGACATTCACATCCCTGTGCCTAGGAAATAGGTTCTTTTGTAAAATCTAATAAAAATATGCTTTTACATATGTGAAAGTTTGTATAGCTGCCAGTTATCCTTTAAACAAAATGGTTTATTGCATTTTGAAAAAAATACCAGCATTATATAATATTATAAAGAATTACCAGCATTTTCTTTCTGCACATTCTGTGGTTTAAAAGATGCAGATAAATTATATTTGCTGATATTGCTTGACATCCCAATCTCTTCTTCATCTTCCTCTTTTATATCAGGTAAGACTGTAAAAACACAAAAATTACTTTCAGTTGAAAAGCTATAGAATACAAAAATGATTATATCTATGTACAATGAATGATGCCGACCCCATTTCAGAATATCAAAAATGTTATGCTTACTATAGCATTCGATACAATTTCTTACTTTTTTGATTTCCCAACATTTGAAAAAATAATTGTGAAATTTAGCTTGCTTTTTTGGGGGAACTGCTGTGTCAATGTTTTATTTATATAAAATGAATACATGCGAACTAGAAAGCAGTTTAATCCAATCATGCTAAAAGCAGGAGGGGGGAGGGAAGTGGCAAATGCATGAAAACGCCCAAACCAAAAATGAAAAGGAAAAAAAGAAATCTACATCTTTTCCTGCATCATGATCAAGGGGTCGGTGCAAAGAAAGAAGTAAATACATCAGCCTGTTTCTGAACCAACAAGGACAAAAATTAAAATTTAACATATAAAATAATCTTAGAAAATGAATCAAAGTGCAAAATTATGGCATTTAAATGATAAATAAGTTTAAAAAATTCAGTCTTTTTCTTTATTTTGAGCAGGTCCCAAAACATAACATGTAAATGCATGAAAAAGTAGTACCATATGAAAATTTGAAACCATACAGGTAGGAGTAAAAAAGTTTTGCAAAATTATAAAATCAAAATCATAAAACAAGAAGTAAAAATGCTCAGACTATAGAACTTACTCAAGAGGGCTTTCTTGAGACTTGGAAGCTGAAGAAGGCCTATTTTGTTGAAAAAACAGATAATTATTAGACAGTCTAATATAAATTAAAATTAAAAGCAAGAATTTTGACAAGACTAATTCAACATCTAGATCTGCAATGATGGTTTAGCTGTAGCCTACTATCATGAAAGTTTGGTTTATTAAGATCATGGCAAAGCACACTAGGGTTATCTGCCTTAATCGGGAGGGATGCCTTCATAGAAAACTTTCTAAGAGAAAATGGCTCGTATACACAATATTCATGGGCGAAACTGCCATGCAACCAGCCTATTTGCCTGGAACTGAACTTAGGGTAGAACTACCAATGTTCAGCAAATTTACTACACAGCTGCTGGTGGCTACAACCCTATTATGAAAGATTACAGTCTGATGGCAAAAGTAATTTTTAGATTGACAACTGTAGTTTAGGCAATTGTTTTCTGATGAAACTGTGCGAAATTTTATTTTCTAGAAATTTAATTGATAAACTAAATTTTTTTGTAAAATCATTGCTGTGATTACAAATATTTTTTATTCCTTTTGTTCGATTAATAATATAGTTAGCAATATTTTTTCTGAAGATATTGGAATTTCTATTAATTTATATGTTTTGGAACTGAAAAGTCTTCTTTTATCAAATAAAGTAATACTGTTGAGATTGTAAATCTATACGTCAAGTTAATCTGCCTTAGGATCATCTATGTTAGTTTGATCAAGTTCAAGGACTTCAGGATAGGAATCATGTTTTCCAATTTTACTGCCATTATTAATGGCAATGATGCCACCTCATTTCTGTAGGTAAATTTGAAAAGTTCTGGATCATGGTAATTGTTAATAAAATTACATTTCTTAGCAGACAACAGGTTACAGATAGCAAGCAGTTGAATAGTTGGTACCCATAGAAATACCATTAACTTGTAGAAAACTTTTATTTTGATAAAATTGTGAAAAGACATATATTTAAGAAAAGAATCTCATTTATCAAAAATAATCCTTTTTTAATTGTGGGAAATAGGTGATAGAGCTCAAATAAACTATTGTAAATTTTTTTAATGGGAAACTGGTATATAAATTCGCAAAATCATAGCAGTTAACACTGTGAATTTGTTATATGTTAATGGTTTTAATAACTTTCTGTTTACTATTGATTATCCAGTTGTTACATAATTCAATATTAAATTGCCTCTGCACCTTTGAGAATTTTGGTGAAATCAATATGAATTTCTTTTTTGAAATTATCTGACTCATTAGCTATAATTCTGAATTTGGATTTTTATGAAATTTTGGGAATACACACAAGCTGGAGAAGCCATTATAGTCAGGTTTTTTAAAAGTTTTTTTTTTGTGAAATGCTTTAAATCTATTAATAAGTGTATTCCTGACTTTTAGAGATCTAATAAGTAGTCTTATTATTTATTTTATAAAATAAGATTGCAGCAAATAATGTTTTAACAGAATTTTTTACTAATAACACTAAAACTGTAGTTACCTTTGCAAACAGTGCTAAGTTCTATATTTTTCTTAAGCTGCTTGGGGTTAAGATCAATATTCTTTATATTACTGAACTGATGTTTATAATTATTATTTTAATGCCTTTGTAAACATGTTTCCATTCTTCAAAGAAGTTGAGTGGATAGCTGTATTTGTAGCTGATGGAAATAATAAATTGGTCAAGGTTGCGTTTAAGCTTTTTAAGACAAATATTCTTGCTAGGATTGCAGTTAATTCTCATAATTATATATATTGTTGCATTTTTACCTGTATGGGTTCGTGGATTTAAAGTGACTGACTATAACACTTGATGAAGTATCAAAACACAATTTATTAGCCAGTATTACTCAGGACAACTACAAAAACATGCTTACAATTGTCGAAAACTACGACAAGGATGCTGAAACAATCAGCAACACAGCCTTCAGGCTATAATGGTAAAGACAGCTTCACTGCAAAATACCACAGTAGAGTTCGCGACTTGGTTCATTCATTCTCGGAACTCTACATACTTTCAAGGCTCTCCACGCTGCAACTCGCGATGGCACTTGATGATAAGCACTACAGAACAGCTTCCGACCAGGTTTGGTAGCTCTTGGAGCACAACACACTCAAGATAAAACTTGACGAGGCACTAACTTGCGATCAACTTGATACACGAGACACTGACTGACTCGCTGGACTCTCACTGATTATTAACCGACTATCTCCACCAACAGGGGCCCACCAGCGGCCGAGCGGTAAAGGCGCTGAACACTGGTAGTTCGGTCCGAGGTTCAAATCCCGCGAACGGGCTGACTGCATGGGCGTTTTTGTGGTTTTCCCCATGTGTAACGAGTATACGAGGCAGTTTCCCTTAGAAAGTCCTCCACGAAGGCATCCCTCCCCTTAGGCAGATAGCCCTAGTGTGCTTTGCCATAATTAAATACACCAACACCACCAACCGGCAGGGTTTGTATAGCTTTTGGCTTGTGTTCAAGAACATTCTAAGCCAAACAGGTAGAATTTATTCCAGAAAACGCTCCATCTGTCTATGGCATATCGCCTATTTTGTCGAAAAATGGAGGGATTTCGTGCCAAATCTGGCAACCCTGCCTCTTCTTGCATTTTATGGCAACCCTAAACCTACCTTAAGTTTGGGGAAGCAATCTTACTGCGGCTGGGAATTTCGTAACAAAACATATGTGTGTTTGTATGTTCATAAATATGTAAATCATCTTTGTAATTTAATTTAGTAATAGTCTCTTAATTCTTAATTTTTTGGGGTATTTTCTGTCTCATTTCTAAAAATAACAATAATTTTCCTGAACTGTGCCGTGTTTAGATTATGCTACAGAGCTTACGTAACGCTGATGACATATTTAATTCAGAACCTAAACTCTGAGAAGTGAAACTCAATATACCATGTATGTGCTTTGTCATCAGAACTTCAGTACTTTTCAAGGTTTCAAGCATTTCCAAGGTTATTTATAGGTCCTGGTGCTTAATACACATCACTTTTCCCTCTGTTGTCACTTTGTAAGCACGTAATTCACCACTCATCTTCTATGGTAACAATGTAATCTGCATACGTAAAATTCTGGAGTACTTATAGCACCCATAGTGTTATACCAATCATGAAGACATGCGCTATGAAATGTTCAGAAATAAAGCATGTTTTACTGTCAAGCTGGCTGTGCGTTATGCAGTGCTTTTTCCAGTCTACTACACATTCAGTATTGCAGCTATTTTCTAATTTCATTCCACTCTGGCCATGAATGAAAGATAATTGTTGTCTTTTGTAACAAGTTTCTCACTGTACCATCTCCAATCATTATTATTTCTTATTATATATATGTGTGTATATAATGCTAAATAAAAGAAAATATTAAATATGTTTAAAATTCATCCTATATTCAAATCAGAATAAACCACATAAGAAACCTAAAAACAGAAGTGCAGCGGTAAACTACAATAGGGAGGCAAAATATGCCAAAAACTTTTAATGAAATTTACATCTTTTGCTACAGGAGGTTAGTGCAATAAACAAGGTAAATAATAAAACAGGCTATTTCTGAACCAACAAAGACAACACCGGACATTAGAAATCCAGCATCCAATTTAAGTTTAAAATTTAGAATTTTAAAATAATCTGTAATGGTACTGCAATTAAGGCATTATTTGACAAACCGGAAACCGAGTATCTATTAAAATAATGCACAAATTTTGATTCAGAGCAGAAAATCGCTTAGATAATACAACTCGTGAGTACGTGGCTAGTCCTGGGCAAATATTCAACTCACTTAAATTTAGTAACCTGTCAGGAAAATAGGTGCCAAACGCACCATGCTGATCGCCAAACGGTCACCAGATACTACACCCTCATTGCAAGATTGTTGATTCTATTTACAAATCAATCATCAATATGCAAACTGAAATCGAGCAAATGTTTGTGATGAATGGGGGGGGGAAATCAACATATATATTTAAACATTTTACACTAAAATTCAAATCTCAATTAACATAAATATTTGCAATGAAACATTTACACATAATTTTACTATATAAACATGGATTTTTTTTTTATAAACCTCCACTAATGATTTCAAACATTATTCTTATAGAAATATCTTACTTCTTAACAAGAAGAAAACATGTTTATATTCTCTATAAACATGTTAAAATACACCCATACAAATATTACTTCAATGAGGAAAACAAAACTCAGCTTTCTACTGTTTTGTGTGAAGACAATTAATAAAATAATTATCAAAATTTCTCTATTTGCACTACTTAAATAGGTACATAATTCTATTCTTTTCAGTTATGAGATAAAAAAATTACAGGCAAAGATTGTTTTCCCTAAAACATTCTATTTAAAGTTTTCTTTAAATAATGATGCTGAAAAATAATTCTTATCCTTGAACATCAAGCCAATTCACCCCTTATCTTAAATATATGCTGAATAATAAATTCTTTCCCTTTTATTTTATATAAATACCTTATTTTGCATAAAACTAGAATTCAAGTTAAAATTTATTATTAAGAAAATAAGAAGAATAGAAAAACTACTTAACCACTAGTTATACTAAATATTAAGTAAATATGAACAACACATAAATGTTGAATGGTCACCGGTTGGGGGGGGGGTCTGGATAATGCATCCACGCTAGACAGATTTCTAGGGTAATGCTGTATCTTTAATTATATTTCAGCAATGCTATGGTGCATTGTTGCAATTTGAATGATTGCAGAGCATTTTTTACTATAAATGCTGGTAGATTGTGATTGGTCAAATTATTTACAGCTGAACTAAATATTTATGGTTCAAACTTTTTTAATGCTCATACTAAGTGTAAGCTTCATGCTCTACAGACAGCTCTGTTGGAGTTTCGACAGTTTTTTTTTTTTTTTTTTTTACTTGTGCAGCATACAGGAAATTGCTTCTCTCTCCTTTGCTGTGATAAACATGCACCTACTCCAACTTGCACTGCATTCATATAAATAACGGACTATGTGGTGTTGGGGTGATCAATTCTGATGATTTTG